TCTCTTTCTCTCCACCGGTTTACAACAACATGAACTATTAATTGAATTCCTGTGAATTATAAAGTTTGTTAAGTGGAGTTATGTCGAGAGTTTTATGTTTGTTTATAGCGCAGAATTAATACAAACACGGGCATTTGAACGAACGAGCCTCGCAGTTAGGACCAACATTATCAATATTAAGTTTTCGTATGTTGGATTGCGGCGAACGAATGTAAATGCCAGAGAAAGGTAATAAATAAACACAAGTTGGTCGTAATTATCTTTTATACGAAATCTATCTGCCTTGTTGAAATGTACTATAATAGAAATATTCACTTTTGTTGTTGTTTTGCAGAAGAAGGCTAAGGAAAAATCTAGAGCCGAGTCGAATGGGAAACTCATTTAACAGGATATTTGTTTGCTCGAACTGCTTCAACATTTTATTCTGCTGTTCGTCAATGTTTAATGCTCTTCTTTTTAACTTCCCGTAGGGTAAGTTATTGTAATCGTCCAAAAATCGAAAATTTTTACATTTCTTAATGTTTTGGAAAATAAAAAAAACTTCAGTGTTTCACTAACATAGCGCAAAGTTAAAGGTTATGATGAATTGCATTGTGCATACAAAAATATCTCGTCGTTTATTTTTCTTAAATGTACGTTTGTTGCAATTATCCTGTTTTGTATGTATAATGTAGATTATCATGTCATTTACGTATTAAAAATTAATTACAAACATTAACGGTTACCAGTAGTGCTAATACAGTACATATTTTTAACATTCCTAGTATTTATGAAAGAAGTTTGTTTTCGCCAGAAAATCCGATTACCTAATTTCATGACGCGTATTAAGACATCACACCACAAAAAAACCCATTTTGCTATGATTTTGACAAAATTTTGTATGTGATATAGTTTGTTATTTTAACAAACTATCGTAAAGAAGTGAAGGACTTTGAAAATTGATTTTATTATAAAAATGCAACATTGTTTGAAATAATGAATGCGGCAATCATAGCGTTTTGAAAATAAATGCAAAAAATTCGTAACATCATAATAATTTTCATGGAGTTTAAATTGGAATAGATGTTGAATGAGCTATTACAAATGAATTTTGTAATCAATCTGCGATTTTTAACTTCTCGTAGGGTAAGTTATAGTAATCGCAAAACAATCGAAAATGAAAATTTTTATATATTTTTACGTTTCAGAGGTTTCTGAACATTTGGTATACCACACAATGGATGTGTGTGTATATGTATGTATGTATGGATACAATTTTTCTTCAACGTTTGCAGGCGCACAGATCAATCGATATCAATGGTTTCAGAAAACATTCGATTCCTCTTGATAGGAGATGTGCTGATTAGGTTTTGGCAAAGGGAGGTCCAGCCGTTTTGGAGATACGGAGCAAAGAGTGTAGAAAATAAAAATCGAAGCTAAATTAATTAGTGGTAATTTTGGCTAAAGTTCTAAAACTCATATACTTTAAAAGAATAATTTCAACTTTGTAATTCAGTTTATATAACTCTTATAAATATTAGACAATGTTATATATTGCAGTATTTATAATAATATATATGAAAATATTTAATATTGCTCGAACATATTTGGTTACGGTACGAGAAGTTCTAGCAATTTGCCTTACGGTACGATGCTATACGCCACTAATTATTTGTATTGCTTGTCTATTATGTATAAAATTATTCATAAACTTATATAGAAAATTGCACAAGTTGCTTACAATGTTCTAACATTGAAAAGACTTGCTAAATATATTGTCGAGAAAGTGTAAATAAAATATAGCACAAATATCTTTATGCATATAACTAATTAATTTCTGAATCATAATTCTGAATTCTAAATATAATGTGTCTATATTTTGCTTTCCATATATTATTATCTTTGTTTGTTATGTATAAAATAAATTAAGTTATTTAACTAATTTAACTAAGTTAATTAATAACCTTGATTGTTTGTAAAATTCTTGCTTGTTGAAACTTTAAAGAACGTTTGAAGAACTTGTTGAAACAACTCTCAAATTAGTACATACTAGAATATAAAATTCAACATCATTCAAATTTTTACTAATAAATTTTCCAATTATTACACATAATTTGTTAGTTAATAAATTAAGTTATATAACGAATATAGTTAATTAACGAATTGAAGGCGTTGTTTGTAAAATTCTTGCATTAAAGGAACTTGTTGACACAGTTCTCAAATTAGTACATACTAGATTACAAAATACAATACCATTCAAATTTTTACTGATAAATTTTCTAATTATTACACATAATTAGTTATTGTAAAATATATTACTGAATAAAATTCAAAAGTCATATAAGTAAACATATAAAAATAAAAATATTTTATATGTAAATATGTATAAGTAAAAATTAAGTTAGGGTTGATACTAATGAGATGCCTGAAAATATAGTTGCTATTTTCATCATACACTGAAGACATGTTATTAAAAAAATGGTTTTAGACATAAATTATTAAAAAAAAACTATTGAATCAAAGGTAATTTAGAAGGGAGTTAAAAATTTAATAATTGAAAGCTATCAGTATGCAAACAAAAAAATGTGGAGAACTTTGATTCTGACCGCCATTTACTCGTAAAATAATTCTTAAATATAATAAAGTTTTTCACCATTTCAGATTTGTGAAAAGATATCGAAAATTTCTAAACGTATCAAATATTTCTGATCTACTTCTCTTACTTTCTGAAACTGCCATTATTTCGTTATATGTTTAGATAAATATGTTATAGAATGCAAGAAAAAAACTAATATTTCAGAGTAATAGATAAACTGTACTCTGTAAGTTTGAAATGTATGGATAACTTTTATTAAAATCTCAACTTTAAATAGATTAAAAAGAAATACTGTATAGTAAGAAATGTCGTTTCAATAAGAAGGATACTTTCCTGTGGTACGATCTTTGAATCGCGTCTGCACTTTAAGATATTAAATATGGAAATATTAACATAGAAATATGGGTTTCTTGACGCATTCGGCGGCAATAATTTGTGATAAATTCATATCTTAGTAAAACATGTTTTATTTAGTTTTTTCCTGAATATCTAAGAATGTTTTAAACAGCTACTTATATTGAATTACGTGTAATTATTATCTCAATTACATAAAAGTATATGAAAAGTATAACTTTTTTTGTTTTCTTTTTTAGTCTAATACAGTTCTAGCCGTTAAAAAACGGAGCAAAAAGTAAAAAAAAATAGCAATTATTGTGAGAATGAATCACCTGATTTGTTCAATTAAAAAAATATCTTGTGCTTGTGCTGACAGGATAAAAAAATTATTTGGATGATTTTCGGAAAAGCAAAAAACATTTTTCCCAAAATTAAAAAAAAATTCAAGATTTTTTAAAAAATTAAAAACCGAATAGGATATTGAATTTAATTCATTTAAAAGCATTTGAAGCATTTTTTTCCATCTAAAAGCATTTGAAATAATTTGAAATATAGAAAGTTTCAGCAATTTGCCTTAAGGCACGAAGCCATGCACTAGTCACTGCAACAATAATCATTTTTCCAAAAATTTAATGAACTTTTATAAATAAACCACTTCTCGTAGTCGAGCGCATTTTGTATGTTTATTAAGAGCATGAATATTATTCCAATGAAATGCTATCAAATCTATAAACTTTGTATCATATTTTTTATATCCAATGTAGGTTACCGCATCCGATTATACGAAAATAAAATATGATTTCGAACAAATATGGAATTACATTTTACTACATCTACTTTAATTTCCTTGCATTAAATGCTAAGATCAAAATCTAACAACTTTATATTATATTTATTACATCCAATGTAGTTTCGTATGCGTTCCCTTGATAATCTCTTCTTAACAGCTAGTGAGAAATTTTGCAAGGATTTAATTAATTCGCCACGCTGGGAGGGTTGTGAGGATTCTATCTTAAAATCACACATACATATTTAAACTTGTATGAGATCGTACAAAATCAAAATTACTCACACCTGGATATTTTAGACTATGAGAGTGCGTCTAGGTTTTTAATTATGATTAAACGTCGACTTGAATGTTGGAATTGATTTAAGTGATATTAAAGGTTCATTTACACGTCTCGATGAGAATTTGAACAAAGATTGTAATGAGATCCTATAAAAATTGCTTGAGAATGAATCAGTACTAAAAATAATATAGTTCAAATGGACTGATTGTTGCAAATTAACCATTGAAAGCTATATAGATAAAGTATATTACGTTGCTTGTCAATAACTATTACCATTTGCTTATTATGATTTATTTACTTACTATTATTATTATTACCAATCATAAGATTTTTTCATATAATATCTCAAGCAATTTAATCAAATATTATCACTAAATAATTTTAAGTGTACCATATAATCAAATTCCTATAGCCATATACTTACAAGCATGCTAGCCAGATATCTAATATAAAGTTTCTAATAGATACTTTGGCAAACGCCCGGTGGAATATCAACTAATTTAGCTTTGCAGTGTTAATGCAAAATCGTGCCTGTGTGCATGATATACTAACTTAAAGTTTGACTGGACTCTGGTGATAACTGACAAAATTAAACAACATGATATCATATCAACTCAAAATTACATATTTGATCATAACTTTCCGCGACTTAATACGAGCAGCTAACTGACGAAGTTTTTGTTCAAATACTATAAAGATATTAGTTTAACAAATGACGTTTTACATTCACTCTTCATGTGTTTATATATCATTTGTGGGCTTTGCTGAGTTACACAACTACCGCGATTCCAAATTCTTTTCATCCAAAAATTTCCAATAGATATTATCTTAATATAGTGCTTTGATCATTTGAACAATTACTATAACTTTCCTGGTCTGGTTAACTAGTCTCAATCGATTCAGAATGACTTGAAACGCCGAGAAAATATACAGTTTGCAAATTGGATTTTTTTGAAAAAAAACTTAAAAATATATACATATATTATTTGTACGTATATAAAAGTAAATAATAAGATTACCTTGTATGTTTGTAAATTTTCAACAACACATGCTAGTACTGCATCTCTACCCATTGGTATAGTCACATTATGTATAGGACCACCAAACACTGGCAAATCTGAAAAAAATTATAACATTTGTTAATTAAGAACTTTTAAAATGATTGAATTAATCAACATATTAAAGACAATATTATATGCATAATGTATAAACAAGTTAAAATATTTAACTTGTTGCTGACTAAGATCAAGAACGTAATAATTTGTTGTCTACGAAGACATTGTTTTATCAAATAATATTCTTTAATACTAAAAGTGCAGTTAAATAGTGATGATGCAACGAGTAAAAGCAACCCTCTAAGCATGTTACCTGATTACTTATTTCTGCTCCCCTAAAAGAATCAATATAAATTCCCTTACACCTTTCGTAGTCTGCAAGGGATGTAAAGAGAGCGTTGGGATGTTTTTAGTTCTGGTTAGTTCAATTACGTTCTAAGTTTCTGTAACTGTTCTCTTCAGCGACTAAACTTTTATGTAAAAGATAAATAGAAAAATGACAAAATAAAAAAACACAATTATGAAAAATTTGTTATCAGTATAATTAGAAGAATCAATTCAAAATATGAAATCAGTCTATTGTATTTATTGTCTTAAATGGTTGAAAAAATATGATAAATTACTATAGTCATACAATCGGTCTATAAATAATATAAAATTTGATACGTATTATTTTCAGTTCAAGTTAATTGTTACATACTGTACATTATGTCGCATACTGGCGATAACTGTAAATTAAAAAAATATAAAAATTACTTATTATTTATTTTCAGAGTTCTATCCAAATTGACGTCTACAAAATTTAGAGACTCTGTTCATTTACTTGTTTGCCAAGAGGGTATTTTTACTGTGCCTCAGCTCTGGTGTTTTTTTATTTCCTTAAGGTCGATATTTCGCGCCGATAGGCCGCCACATTTTGAATACAAATCGCTTTATTTAAAAAAATATTCCGGCCAATTTCAAATGTAGACATATTGCAAAGCGGCTGCGGTAGACAAAAATGTAAATATCATAATATCGAGTTTATCTCTATTTCAGTTTTCTTCGTCTGCTGTATCTAATACGTGCAATTGTTTTTGTGTTTGAAATATTCATCTCTAGTTTAATACATAGATGCTCATTTACGTAAGTATCAATTATTTACTACCGATGATAATGATTTCTATTACGAACTAAAATATTATATACTTGCAATACAGAATTTACAGAGCATTTTGTACGTGGCGTCTCCACCGTATACTTAAGGAAAAATTTAATTTGCTAAACACTTTCATATATTTTTATAAATATATTTACTAAAACTGTACAATATTAATAAAAAATTGCAAATCCAAAAAATATTAACCTAATATAAATAAATAAATAAAGACATTTTATCATAAATAACTAACTTCACCATTTTTATAATATGTATGCTTCATTAACCAATAATTTTCAGATGTCGCTTGCTTTAACAAATCTCCGGGCAATAACATCATATCTCAGGGTGATAAATGGTTTACATACATTAAACAATGTATAATAAAAATATTCCCATATTTTAGAAAATAACATAATAAATAACAGAAAAAATATTTAATAACGTTTGCACCACGTACGCAAATTAACTTTGATGCATGGTATGGTAAAACTCATTAGAAACTTTCCGCTCAAACAAACCCTAGATTTTATAAAAATTCCACATCGGAAAACTTTAGTTCAGTTCATAATTATCTCATAAATAAACAGTTGTTGAGCTCACATCATTCAAACAAGAGGGCTTGTTTATTTAGACCGACCTGGAATCCTGAAAAGAATGTACCTATCGGGATGACGAGCACTCGGGATAGTAGGATACTCGGTGTAATATTTACATTAATCAATTAAATATATATATATATATATATATATATATATATGTGTGTGTGTGTACCGAATGTCCCAGAACTCAACGCCAAGTCGAAACTGGATAGCAGGATTAATTGTAAATATCTTGAAACCTATTTTTTTAAAAATAGCCCATGCCATTATTGATGAAAATATCAGAGAATTGTGAGTTAGTTGAGTTTTGATCAAACTGTAATAATTTTTTTTCTGGTTATTATGGTTGATTTTTATTATATTTTTTCATTAGATTTTTGGTCAAAACTAATGATTTGTTAAACTTTTTATGAAAATGTTTTACATTTGTTCGATTTTAAAAAAAAATTTTTTTTTAAAATTTACTTAATGCTTTGGAATTAAATTACGGTTCTTTATATTGATTTACATATGCTAATCGCAAAAGTGCTAATTATATAATGAGGATTTTTTTTGGATAACTTTATACTGACAATCAGTTTTGTGCCATAAATATTATCATTTTAAAAATGACCTAATGTTTTGAACTAATAATAATTTTTAAATCTGCATGTATAACAAAAATCATTGTGTAAGAGACTAGATTACCATATATATCGAACTTTTCTTAAAATATATTGTATTTTTCGTTGTTCTTTCCATGATACTATAATTTTTATTATACTTTGAATAATATTTAACTTTAAAGCTCTCGTTTCCTTTAGATCTCTGTTTATTTTGGGAGTATAAAATGTGAGGGACGCTCAAAGAAGAAAAGAGGAACCGAAACGCCATTAAATCAAATCGCTCGCGAAAAGAAGTAACATTATCTTGTACGACGTGGAAACATCTTTCTTGCGGAGAATAAAATAAATATGAAATCCCAGAACGACGACTGGGGAATAATCTAATATCTCAATGTCAAAAAACAGTTTGTCACCCTTTAGTATACAAACGCAGAATTGTGCACGAAGGTAGGTGTGTCGAATATAATATAACACACTTTGCGGATATCGCTTTATGAAAAATACAAATACAACGCAACGATTCACATCGATTGAAGATTTGAAATATTTGCTCAATGTATTATTTTAGTGTACATTCATGTTCAATAAATTTCTGATATTATTGATGCTCAATTCTCTATAATATTTTATAAGGTATTTTATTTCTCTTCATACATACTTTCTCCATAAAGTTTATATCATTTGAAATTGTATTTATATTATTAAATAAAATTGTATATTTAATAATTATATTCTTTTCATGAGAGAAATACAAACGACTTTCTTTGAAAATAACATTTGAATAATCAAAGTGCCATAAATAAGATAGCATCATAAACAGTTAGATGATAAGATTACTTAAATTACATTCACAGATTACTGTCACTTATATATTATATAAGTGACAGTAATCTGTAAATAGTAGAATAACTTTGAATGACTAGTATAGTAGTAATGAAAAAATGAATGAAAATATGAATTCATTGCTTGTTGAATTATTTATTGACTACATTTCAAATGATTTTATTATTATTGACAACCTAAAAAAAAGTTTATATATTTGCCAGATGATCCAATTTTCTATATATATATATATATATATATTTTGATCCCTTCAGGTCATTCAGAATTTTTTGACATAAATACTGGACAAAGTATGTGGACCAATTTTTGACTTGAATCATAAAGTTCATGATCAAATAAATATTTTCTAAACATAAATTAAAATATAAACTGTTATTATAAATAAATTATACTTAGTTAATTAAATTACAGATAGAAGTTTGCGTTAATTGAAAATCGCATTGTTTCGTTTTTTTGCAGACAAATACTTAATTTTCAAAATAAACTGTTGAAAATCATTTAAATTAAGAGTATAGTCGTAAGTATTCTCAAATATATAAAAGCTACAATAAAATATTCGTCAAATTTCCTCAATATTATTTGTACATAATATATTTGTATCAATCTACGTAATACATTGTTACAATATATGTCAAAGAGTAACAAACAGCGTTTGGTTATACTGCTCCAACTTGAAAAGTTAAGACTTCTTACACGGATGTTTAATTATTGAATTACAAACATTTCCGCAATTGAGTCCACAACTTTATTACCGCAAGTTTATGTACTTGTATTAGATAACCATCGTGAAATAAAATCAATAAACTTCTCAAAGAAACTGCAAAATAAATTAAATAAACAAGAAACTAAATAAAAGCTGTCTCTGACATGTACGAAAGCACATTACGGATTTTATGTATAATGACGGTTTTAAGTTATCAAGACATTCTGTCGTCTCCTATTTCGCTTCATAACTGAGAGATTAATAACTCCGTTTCTCGGACACTTTATAGCAAATTGTGGACTGTACCTACTTAGATATATATATTTAATGAAAAGATAAACTTAATATTAAATAATTTATTCAAATTAAATAAAGAACAATACTTGGATTGGATTATTGATTTTTATTATAACAAAAGCGATGTTTTTCAAAACAAGTGCTATAACTCAGATTATCACTCTGATTTTTACTAATAACTCAGAAATTATAATAATTATTTGATGTATATTATTAATAAATATCAGAACAGAGTAAAATAAACATTTTCATAGATATCAGTTTAATATAGAAAATTATTTATTCAATTATTACTTTCCTGAATGAGAAGCCAATGTTTTCGTGACAAAATCCGATTTGCAAACTGTACGTTTTCTCGACGTTTTAAGTCGTACTGAATCAAATGAGATCAAATTTGTAAATAGTATGTGTGCGTGTTAATGTGAACCGATTATTAACTCTTTGGCGACGTTTTCTAAAAAAAAATCGTACAAAATCTGCAATAGTTTTTTACATTTTGCACTCTACAAGCCAGTCTACTTATAAATCATACTCATAGATTATTATATTGATTCCTTGTTGATTAAGTCAATTATTTACATATGTCGGTAAATTCATGCGACTTACCTTAAGGCAAAATGCCACTTACAAATAATGTAGTTCTTTATTTATTTCCATGAGCCTGTTGTAATTAACAATATCTCAGACTCTAGTCAGAATAATGCATAATGAATATTACACAATTTTCATTATACAAAATATTAGTATAATGTATGAGAAAGCAAATGTTATGAAAACCAAAGAGCCTTTGAGAATAATAATTTTATAAAGTAAATGTATATTTGCATTCAATACTCGAATTATTTTTGAAGAAAATCATGAATATATATGTACG